CTGGCTGAAGTCGGACGCTTAACCGACTGCGCCACCCAGGCGCCCCCCCAGATCTTTCTTTTAATAAAGTGTTTTGGTAGTTGTAAAATCACTATTAATTACTATTAATAGCTTCAGTTGTTATAAATTACCATTCATACAAATGTGTCTTCAATTCATCTCTATAATGATTCAGTTACTTAAAAGATCACTTGAAAAGGACAATTGGGGCTTCAACGTTCAATATTATTATAATAAAGATTAAACACAATTAAGGATCAAATCTAATTTACGGGTATACATTAGCGCATGATTATTATTTTTAATGATCAAAAAATTAAATCTATGCAACAAGTGTAACACAGATCCAAGGCATGAGAATAAAATCATTTTATATTTTGCCATAGCTTGCTAAGTCAAAAGGCACTTCATTTGACATTATTTATACTATGAAAGAATGCTTTTGCTAATCAGAAAAATAAAACCTATTTTTATAACTACACATATAATTGGTCAAGTTTTTAAAAAGCGTTTTCTAAAATTTCCTGGTAGTACTAACAATAATATCACTGGGGCTTTAAATTAATAAAAAAAATACTTTTAAATTTAAATGTCAAATTAACTCAGCACTATTAATATACTTTAAAGAGCATGCTAATATGAGCATATTTTAATGTTTGCTGCTATGTGATAAGGGTACATCTGACTTTACATTCATAGAATATGTTAAGACTTAAAAACTCTTTTTAATTGTGGGAAATACAATGGTTTCATACAAAGAAAAACAAAAATTATAGGACCTGCAATAATTATAATACAAAGACCCCTTTGTTTTCTTTCACACGAAGGAAGTATGTCTCCTTTGGCATTTGGCCCAAACTTTCAAATTCAAAGGATTATTTAGTAGATAGTAAGTGTTACATAAACCACTAATGCAAATTGTCTTTTTTTTTTTGTTGTTCTGCTCTTTGTAACACAGACATAGAAATTTTAATGTAGAGAATCCCTTCTATGTGTTCAGTGAATCACTCTCAAACAGCATGTGAGATTTTGCACCAAAAGAATGTTCCATCCTAAACTTGGGAAATAAGCAGAGAAGCCATCTTTCCAAAAAAAAAAAATGGTTGAAGATATTAAATCTGTCTGATTCCAAAGTTACCAAATCACTCTCAAGATCTCTCTTTTACTTTCCAGAAAAAATAACAGAATTTTATTAGCTTACAATTCTCATTAGAAGTCTAGGTTAAAATACGCTAACTTTTACAACTATATCCCACAGATGTCCGCTCACAAATATCATCAGTCAACCTAACTAAGGTCATATATCAGTGAGCTCTTGATGAATGTTGGTGACAGATTGTTTTTAATGGTGTCAGTAAACTAGATCTCATGTATACTTTTGCAACCTTCTACACACAATAATTTTGAACCCTTTAAATGTGCCATCATAAATATGCAGTGGCTACATAGGAGAACATTATTTAGGGTGAAGTCTGATGATGTCTGTAGCTTACTCTGAAATAATTCAGTGGAGAAAAACATGTACATACAAATACACATACATGTAGGTAGAAAGAGACAGAACAAATATGGCTTCTGTTATAGATGATGTGTACACGGATATTCATTGTAGTATTCTTTCAGCCTTCTATATATTTGAAAAATTAATGTTTTTAAATATTTTAAAATGAGATGTTTATACTTCATTGGTTTATTCTTAAAAGTAGATTTTATAAGTTTTATTTATATAACATACTAAGTTTAAAAACATAAAAAGAATCAAGACTCTTTTCTAGAAATTACTTTTCATAGTTTATTGGGTGTTCCACATTTTCAATTTTCCTCGCGTTAAGTACTAATGTTTTCCATCTGAACTGGCTATGAATAATAAATACTACTAGTTAAACAAACTCAAGAAAATATGATTTCAAGACAATTACTCAGTTTTTACACAGTATTCCTTGTACTGTCCATACTTTTCTGGAATTTCCCCCAACATTCACTGTTACCAGACACTACCTCCATCCATCTATACTCCTGAAAATAATCAGGGAGCAGGGCCTGTCATACTTAACAAATATTTCGAAGCCTGTGGGCACTCAAGATTTGTAAGAATTTTTTTTTTTTTAATGTGGAACGTAAAGCTAACAGGTTATGTCTTACAGAAAATCATGAACTGGTTAGTCTTGGTTTGAAAGGAGTTTTTTTGTTTGTTTGGGTTTTGTTTTTATGTTTTTGAGTTTTCATGAAAAGCTATATAAGCTTTGGGAACCTCAAGCACCCAGAGAAAAGGTAAGAGAATTTCAAAAATTTAATCATAGTCTCTTCTTCTCCTCTCTAGATTTTTCAGAATGCCAACATTTTGTATGATGGTCATACAAAGGCTGGTAAAAGAATCACCCGCCTCTAAATCCTTATATTTGCAGTTGTAGGTGCTTATTAGAACAAGGTTACCAAAGATTTATATTCATCATCGCTTTTGTCAGAAAATGATGACCAGTATTTCTAGGCATATTTTAACTTCAACAATAAATTTATCATCAGGAAATTTGAAAAATGATTCTTACGAATGTAGCTTCCATCAATATACCTTCATTTAACCAACGCTTATTTAAAATTCTCTCTGCTTCCATGATATGAAAATCTTTTCAAAATGTATGCTATTAAAATGTCTAAATTTGGAAAACATCTGGCCTGTCAAATTATTTGGGGGGCTTGTGGTTTTAAGTACATTGTTTGAGGTGGCATATTTGGAAAGAATTCACTTATCATTCTCAGGCTTCATAGAGAACTAGCCTTGAAAACAAATGTATGTGGTAGTTCACTGCTACCATAGAGAATCAATAGCCATCTATTTAATTTGCTAAGACAATGTAAATTAGTAACTTCCAGCCAGATGTGTGATATACACATCAAACAAACTGCAACCTGTTCATTATGAAAATCCTGTCAACACACACAGAGCCACTTGATGGCATTTCATCTAAGGCAGTTTCCACATTTGCAGCTATAAAAATCGTCCTAAGAATTTTTATACAAAGAATTGAAGTTGAGACTCATAAAAGGGTAATCAATTTCAGCTTTTTGTCTTGTGTGCTTCTGTTTGTTTATTTCTATTTTCATTCAGAGGTATAAAACATTTAGAAAAATATGAGCCATGCTATTTTTCCTTCTGTAAATCACTTATCCTCATTACATCTTTTTAATCTTATGTAAAGTTGGTAGCCTAATCCTGCAGCTCTAAAGAAGTGTGTGAAGTGAAGAAGGACATGGCCAACAGCAGAAGAAAAGTACACTTATCCACCGGAAAACAAAACAGAATATTCCAAAATGACTCCAAACATAAATTAAGCTTACCCATTGGGAGGTCTAACTTGCATTCTGATCATTTGTATGGGTCTGTGTGACTATATACCCTGCTGTTTGATAAAAAATGATTACTAACCACAGGCACCCACCAGAGAACAGAGTGTATGTATAATGCCTGTGATGTCTCAGACATACAAAGCGCCTTCTTAAAGAATGTCCGTTTCCTCTCCGTGGTAAGCAGACATAATTTTTCACTCTTTAATACTTCTGCTTCACAGAGTGGCTTATTTTATGAAGTATGCTTTGCCATTTTCTCTTACGTTTATTTTAATAATACAAAAAACTGCATTCATAAAATAGATGGTTTTGTTTCATGATACCCAAAATACTTGTATCTTTTCTGCTCTGTATTAAAATCCACAGCTTTCTTGCTATTACAAAAACCTAATAGTGTTTATTTTAATACCATTTATTGAATGAAAGGAATAAAAAAGATTCCTCTTAATAACCAGCTATTATTCTTGAATATTGAATCCTCATCTAAACCAAATTCATTTTTCCAAGTCTATTGAATTAAATTTTCTTATTAAACAGGGCACAGAGTAAATAGTCTTATTGCCAAGCATAATATTTTCAAGCACTACATTTTTAATTTGGCAATTTAAAACAACGTGGAATGAATCTAGTCCTCATGGCCTGTAGGATAGTCTGATTCCAAATAGTACCCCCTTAACCAATTTCCTAATGTGAAAATAGCATTTCTACTAAGTGCCGGGCGTGTCAATGCTTCCAAAGTAAATAACCCCTGAGGTCCCCTAAAATCACAAGAATTTCAGCGACTACCAAAAAAAAAAAAAAAAAAAAAAAAGGCAACCGTGCACACAAAAGAGTTCTTCATAAAGGCTTCAAACCACGGCAATTCAAACATTATACAGAAGGCGCTTTCTTCACCAGCCGCACACCAGGCCACGTGATCAGCCTGCAGTGCCACACCGAGGGCCACTGACGATTATTGTTTCTAGAAATAAAGCTCAAACGCGGCCGCTGCGGCCGCCCGGCCGGCTGTAGGTGACACTGCCAGGCCGGCTCCTCCCACGCGACGCGGTCACACAACGCGCGAGGCCTGGGCGCCGGCGAAGACTTGCAGCCTTGGGTCGGGTCCCTTGGCTTTCTGGAGGTTACAGTCAAACCCTCCTGGTCACTTAAACCCTCTTTGTGGTTCAGCCTAAGAATCACTCTCTCAGAACTCGTAACTTTGATTGGAGACTCTGGTTAAAATTAAGAACTTCAAACCCAGATTTGAAAAAGTGAAACAGATGTCCTTTTTGTTAACCATAAATGGCTCCGTACGTCCTACCCTTTCCTCTTTCTCTCTCTTTCTCTCTCTCTCTCTCTCTTTTCTTTCTGCCACATTAAGTTTTATTTAATGCAGAGTTCGCTTAAAAGGTTAAAAGAGAGAGCAGAAAGCAAATGTAGACTGTGGGTGGAAAAACTCCTAAATCTTTTCCTAGAATGTAACGAGGGAAGCCTCTTCATAAAGATGAAAGTGCTCAAGCTGCAGTCTCCCAGCACAGAGTGCACTGGGGGAGGGGGGGGGCAGAAGCGGTATCCCAGGGGGCCCCAGCCTTGCCTAACCAGCAGTGCCCACCGCCCGCGCCCTCTCGGAGACCAGGGTTGCCTAGCGTGGGCGAAGGTCCCAGACTTGCACTCACGTGAGGACATAGTTGACGCTGACGATACAGTGTGGCCTGGACGAGCGGCTGTTGTGGACGATGGTCGCATAGCTCTGCACCCATACCCAGCCACCGTGCTTTGCCAGGAACCTGTAGTACTTGGTGGTCACCTGCCCCTTCACCAGCACTGATGGAAAGACAGAAGGCAGCTGGTGGTGAAGGAGCCGGCTCCTGAGCCCGCCCAAACACAAACCCTGGCGGTGGGAGTGCAGGTCCCCCATGGGCCCTAATGACTGCCCCCAGGCAGGAGGGAGAGACAAACGGTAGGTTCCCAAATGGATTGTCTCTCCCCTGAATTTGCATCGAGTTCTCTCGCCCCTGGAGATTAGCAAAGGGGTGGGGGACACTTAAAATTGGATTCCTCCGCTCAATTTTCTAAGGAAGGTACCGTCTGGGCAGCTGAACTCCGAGGCTCATATTCCCTGTTTCTGGAAATTAAGCTAAAAAAAAAAAAAAAAGCTGAAGCAGGTCTGTGCATATGAGCCAAATGGCCGGCCTAGCCTCAGTTATCGTTCCCATGTTCAGTGAGGCTTGCAGAGGGTGGGAGGTGGGGAGCATAAAACCCCTCCTGGGGGAATTTCCCCAGAAACTCAGAAACTCTCCCTGCGGATATTAAGGAAACAAGGTGGGGCTCAGTGTTGGAGCAGCCACAGGGAAGGGCGTCACCTACCACCACCACCCGGCTACCAGGGCTCCTCCCCGACCGCTTACTGTGGACGTAAATCACGCCCTTTCCCCTCCCCAGGCCGCGCGAGGGACGTCCTGTGCCGGGAAGAGTGGCGCCTTACGCAGGTGGTGGGCGCAGCGCAGGTGGAAGGTGTCACAGCCGTGCACGTGGTGGTACAACGTCTTCTCAATTAGGTCCTGAGGTTCGTACCCCGTCAGCTCCGCCACTCTGGGGAGAGCAATCCTCGAGGGATGAGCGCAGGATGCGGGGATGCCCCCCACCCCACACGGTCCTCTCAGGCTGGGTGCCCGCCCTCACTTCACCTCATCTGCAAAATGGGCTCAGAAGGTCGAGGAAGAGCTCTCGGTCACCGAGCAGGGCCATCCTCCTGCTAGGGTGATCCTTTCCCACCTGACCACCCACCTGGAGTCCAGGAAGATGAGCTTCATGTCCAGGCTGGCGCGGAACATGAACATGTTGCTGTGCAGCTTGATCTCCGTGACGGCACTGGGAGGCAGCGAGTGGCCCACAGCCACCAGGCCCACGTTCTGGTAGCAGCCATCGAAGGGGGACATGTCCAAGCTGTATTGGCGGATCTTCAGGTAGCCGCTGCAGTGAATGACCTGCAGAGGAGGATGAAGGGGTGAGACTCAGCCACCGCCAGGAAACATCCCAAAAAGGTGGGTAAGCGATTGAAACATTTTGTGACTCCCTTGAGCCACAAACCGCCCTGCGGGCCACGCCCCTGCACTGAGTTGTCCAAAGTTATTGGTGTTCCAAAGTGTCTCAAGGAATGTCTATCCTGCCACACTGAACTCACCTGGGAGCTTGTAAAAATACAGAGGCATGGGCCTTGCCATCATTAACTCATCAAAATTGCCCATGGGGCCCTGGAACCTGAATTGGAGCTAAAGCTCTGGTTCTTAACCCCTCTGGGGGTTGGAATCTGATGCTGTGAGTAAACTCTAAGAATCCGCCAAAATTACCGACCATTTCAGACGTTTTACACAGCCCTAAGGTCCATTATGAGCCCCAGATTAAGAGTCCCTGCAGCCCAGCAGTATCCCAGATAGTGAAACCAAGTCTTAAAACTTAGTAGTCCCCAAGTGTTCAGGAAGTTCAACAACTCTTGAGGTGCTCCCAGGCAGACAGAGCTTTGATGCCTGCAGAGGACGCCCTCGGGGCAGTCAGGGACTCAGAAATGTCCCTCCCACGCCCTCGAGTTCCTCTGGTTCTGCTACTTTCCCCCACACGCTGCTAGGATCATCCCTCTCAGCCACACACCTTGTAGCCACCGCAGGTGAGGCCCGCGTTCCTCTTGGCCAAGACGCACTTCATTCTGAGGAAGAAGGAGCGCTCGATCTCGTATTCTGGGAGAGAGGGGAGGAGGGAGGCGAAGGATGTGAGACGGCTGGTGTGACTCCAGGTCCCACCTTGGCTAATTGGGGAAAAGCCAGAAGCAAATGGCGGTGGCAGCGAGGGACCCAAGTAGTGCAGGCGAGCAACTGCCTTACCCTGGACGAAGTGAGAGTGGTAGGGTTGATGAGCTGTAAGCACCGCGGTCATCTCGTCGTGGTCGGCTGGGTGGATGTATTCATAAATGCTGTTCCCAGTCAGCTCTACCTGTAAAGAGGGGGGTATCACCTTCTCCAACCCTTGTGGGGCTGGAAGATTGGACCAGGCTGTCTACAGGCCTGTGAGGACAGGAGCCAGAACTTTAGAGTCAGCCCTGAGTATTAATTCCAGTTCTGCTGCTGGCTACTTACTGCAGTCTAAGCTAGGTTTCCTCATCTATGAGAGGAAATAATAATATAATAGTAATTATAATGGTAGTAGGAACAGTCGTAGTTTCCCGGCAATGTTCTGGTAAAAACATCAGGCATTGGTATGTAACTACCATCCATGGTGTTTGACTTATGGTAGACTCCAAAAGACAGCATTGTTTGGGCTCAGGGTGGAAGCCAAAGGATAAGGGAAGTAGAGGAAAAGAGAGAAGCAGACCTGCCAGCTGAGATATTTCCAGTCCCAGAAATGCACATACAAAAGCTTTGGGGAACCACCACCCCCTTACCTCTGGCCTCCAGCTCTGGCTGTAAGCATTGAAGGCTGGAGGTGTGGACCACTCACCTACCTGAGAAAGACCCAGGTGGACTGAGGCTGTCTCTGAGATGTACATGATCTTCCCATCTGGGGCCACCACAAAGATGAAGCCATCCAGGGTCTGGGGAGATAGAAACAGAGTTGAATGGAGAGCCCTCTGTGGGAAGAAACTGGGGTAGGGGGCAGAAGTCAGAGGTGTTCAGCCAGAAGAACAGAGACATGGAGTAGAGAGAAGCAGACAGGAAATAGGGCATAGAAAATATGCCACAAGAGCCCCTCTTTTGTTCATTCCAAATATGTAAGCATCTGGGACATGCAGCACACTGGGAGACACCCAGAGAAAGTGGTGGGCAAGGGTACTGCCCTCCAAGACTCATGACCCACTGAAATGGACAATACAGACATATATCTGTAGCATACACACACAAATATAGGGGGCAGAGGATCACAGCCCATTATAAGAGGTAGGTTAAGTTCTTGGGCTGATGGTCCCTGAAAGAAAGAATAGTTTCCTGAGTCGGTCTTGGAGGACTCCATAGTGGTGGCATCCTATAATGGAAAGAGTACCTGCAGGGTTTAGGAAAGGGGCACTGAGCCATATGGAAGTGCTGGTAGTCTGAAAAGTTTTTAGACAGAAGGCAGCTGGCCAATAGCTCCAGAAAGAATCTGGGAGAGGCAGGGTTAGGAAATGAAAATTTTCTGGGTAGCAACTACAGAGTAGTTCCATAGTGTGTAGATGTGTGTGTTTCACTGATGCATCAAACTGACAGGCTTTCCATGAAAGAAAATCTTAGACTTTCACTGTCGCTTTATCTCTGTGAATGAGGCTTCAGTCCAGGCAGTGGAGACATAAGGATGAGTCAGATCCTGCTCTCAAGTTGCTGGAAGTCCAGCGGCAGAGACTGGCTAAAGACAGATATAATGACCGCAGAGCTGAGTGGACAGTGCTGTGGGGGCCCAGAGGCCTGGAGGAGAATCAGAGGCCTCAGAGGACCGGTTTGAGCAGAACATTGAAGAGGAAGCTTGAACTGGAGATGGGAGGAAAGGAATCCTAGGCAGAAGGAATGACGTGGCAAAGGCAGGGACTGGTGGGGGGTAGGGTACATCTGGTGTACTCAGGCTCAATGAATTTGGTGTGCCAAAGATAGGCTGAGAAAGTACACTGATGCTGGGTTTTTGGAGAGTTTGAGATATCAATCAGAAGAATTCAGAGATGCTCCTATAGGCATCAGGGTTCCAGCAGTTTCTAAGCAAAGCAATATCATGTTTAAATGTGTGTGTGTCTGTGTGTGTGTGTGTGTGAGTTGTTTTTTGTTTTGTTTTGTTTTGTTTTGTTTTTCAGTGGTAGAATGTGAACAATGACCTACAGGAGGAAAAAGTGGGATGAAGAGATCAGAGATGGTTGAGCCTAAACTTGGGTGGTCACAGGGTGATGAGGAAGAGGGAGAGTTTAAGTCAAAGATGGTTCTAGCTGTGGAGTTTATGGTGGCAGAGAGAGAAGCTGAGAGTGACTTCAAGGTCATTGAGTAGAGGGTAAGAGCATTAGCCAAGACTGAAAATTTAGGGAAGCGTTGTGAGTTTTTGTAGGAGTGGAAGTCTGGAGGAGGGAGGTAATTAATTCTTGTCTTGGAGATGCTAAACTTCAGGTATATGCAGATTTCCAGTTGGCAGTAGGAAATAAGTCTGAAGCTTCAGAAGGGTGTCTAGACTGGAGAAACCAGCTGGAGTCATGCAAATGTAGGAATGAAGTTGAGGTTGTGGTGTTGGCCCAGATCACCCATGAGGCCCTGAAGCTGTGAGAGGAGAAACAGAGGTGGAACCTTGGAGGAATACCAACATTTACAGCCAGACAGCAGTAGGCAAAACAGAGGAGCAAGTAGAGAAGGAGAAGAATCCAGGAAGTTGCGCTACTTTAGAAACTGAAGGAGAGAGGGTGAATGTCAAGTAAGCAGTGCCACCCTGTCAGGTATTTACCCAAATGTCACCTTCTCAGTGAAGTCCTCTGCAACGTCCCCATTTTAAGTGGCACTACTCACAGTCCCCACCCTCCCCCTTCTTATTTGTCTCCATAGCACCTACACCACCTGTTATACTATGTAATGTACCTATGTGGGTTTGCAAGGCTGCTCTCCTTAGAATGTGAACTCCATGGGGGCAAGGCTTTCTGTCTGGCACACAGTTGGCCCTACTATATTTGTGCAATGAACAAAGCCAGGTAGGATAAGAGATGCGCATCTTATGCTGGATATCAAAATGTGGTGGAGCCTGTACAGAGCACAACAGTTAGGAGAGATGCCAGACGGCAGTGGTGTGGAAGTGAGGGCAGCAGGGTGAATGATGGAAATTGAGAGGGTAATGAAATTCTTCCAGAAGTTTGGGATGAAGAAGAGGAAGAAGACTGGGCAAGAGCCAGAAGGAGAGAAAGATTGTTTGGGTTTTGTTCTCTTGTTTATATGGATGAGGAAAGTCAGCTGGGAGTATGGAAAGATTGGGGGCAGGGAGAGCATTGCTGAGAGACAACTGATGAAAAGTGTCCCTGAGAAAGGAAAGTGATGATGCCTTTCTATTTGAATTCAGATGTATGAAGACCAGGCCTATGAGGGAATGCTTACACAGGCCTTTCTTTGCTCTGTGACACTAAAATCTCTTTGGCTTCAGGCACTGAGGGAGGGACAAGGTAGCCATGGGACAGGGAAGGCCACAGCACTTCTGCCATGGGATGCTGGTCCTGTCTGGCCCAGGAGGAAGAATTAACTCAGATTCCCCCGCCATGCTGCTTAGGTTTGAGGCTGCCACAAGAGGATCTGGGGGGGGGGGGTCGGACAAGGATAATAATAAGGGGGTGGAAGGTGGGAGACAAGTGTCAAGCCTAAAAATGCCACCGGGAGTTTTGCTATTTTAAATATTTGCTATGCGACTTAAGCGGGCAACGGGCAATTTAAAACGGGGCGCACTGCAAACAACGCGGTAATGGGTGCCTCCGCCCTGGGTAAACTCATTACCTGGGGAGGTGTTATGTGTGTACGCGAGGGTCTGTGCACGCGCTGGGCTGGGCTGGCCTGGGGTGAGAGCTCATAGAGAGACAGGGGAGATCCCGCGAACTACAGGGAGAAGATGAAAAGAGCTGCACACGCAGCTGGCTCTGGAATGTGTGCGCTTAAAGCACTGATGGGCATTTCTACTAGATTCCCGTTATTCCTGTGTAAATCCTTCATTTCTGGCTGTTTTGCAGCCGGGCCCGGCGCGCTTCGGTTCTCTCAACCGAATGGTGTCAAATGGCGCCCCCTCCCTCGAGACGGCCGTCCTGATTTGGGGCCTTGCCGGACTCCCCTCTAAAGCCAACGTGCCAGTTCACCTTGCCTCCCTCTCCGCCTCGAGAGGCGCCATCTGCACCCAACGAGGTTAAGAGCTCAGCGTTTTAATTTTCAAGGGGCTGTAGGGGCTGCGAGAAGGCTACGTCTGGGCCTGATCCTATTTTCCTAAGAAACAAGAAGCCCAGCGCGGGGCCAGGCACCTGAGCCCTCGAAGCTTATGTGCCGCCGCGCGGGTACCTGGAGCAGATGGGAGCCCAGTTCTCTGCCTACGTTGTCCAGGGGGCTGGTGCGACTCGAGTGGCCCCACGCCTCGCCGAGCCCTGTGGAGACACAGAGACACCCTTTAGCGATGGGACTCCGACCTGGCTAGCAGTTTGAGACTAGTGCCGCGGTTATGGCACGCACGCAAGTTCGCGCGCACCACTGGAGTTCCGGGCACCACTACTGCCTAGGATGCGAGCCTGTGAATTTCGGCCCCTCCCTCTCTGCTTTTAAAAGGACTGCGTAGAGGTCAGACTCCCTCTCGGGGGGCGGGTGAGAGCTTCTCAGGGAGGGCAGAGCCCTGGCTGAGCACCCCTCTTGGCGGTACCTCAAGTGGCGGGGTTTGAGGACGGCCTGTGTGTGCCTTGCAAAGGCCGAAGGCACCCGAACGGTAACTTTTGCGAAAGTTCACCACTGTGCTTAGAGAGGGGAGGGACTATTTCTCCCCCAAAGCTTCATTATCTGCCTTATCACGAGGCCGAGGATATCCACGCCTCCAGCGAATGCCGCGGCGAATACCTGAGGCTGTGAACTGAGTCCAGCTGGTCCTTGGGCTTTCTTTCTCTTTGGCTGCGGGGCTCTCCAGCCAGTTACCTCCCCTAGGCCTCTGCCTTTAATCCCCTTCGGAGAAATCCGTTTGCTTGTGGATGGCTTCCAGCACCTACATCCCTGAGCAATGCTTATTCCTCTGCTTCCTCCCCACTACCCCTAGTCTTACACACCCTACCTAACCTCGCCCCTCAAAACAAAACAAAACGAAACAAAAACAAAACAGTGTAGGCTTTTTTTTTTTTTTGAAGTTTACTTTCAGGTGCGAACACCATCTTGGCAATATTTTCGTTTCCTTTTGGATATAGAGAACCGTTCAGTTTCTCTAGTCTCCACGTATCTTCTATTAACAAAAGTATCATCTATTAACAAAGACAGCCCCTTCCTCTCCTCGATGTTACCACGTCGAGATCTTTCCAGGCTTTGCCAGAAATTTCTCCTAGTGATGCCTAAAAAAGAAAATTCTCTGGAAAAAAAAAAAACCTTTTAAAATAATATTCTCTGGATACCCGTAGCTGATTAAAAAAAAAAACAAAAAACTAAAAGGGAGTCTGCTATAGTACATGTTTGCAGAAAGAAAAAAATAATAAGGCAGAAGAAACTTGAGGAAGAGGTTGTACTACCCATAACTACTTACAGGTAATATTTTTTAAAAGTGTTGCTGCTGAAATTAATTTAACCAGGTAAACTCTTTTACACCATTAAACAAGGTTTAACATAACAAAGGGGGTGTGATTTACTGATTTACTGCTTTAAAGTACGAATCACTATGAAGTACACAATGACAAACACGCTCGCATTGTAATATGGGGGTGAGGGCGGATCTTTCAGAATAAAACATGGAGTTGGACTCTTAAAATGTGTTGGCCAGGAGCTGCTTCCAAAGCAAGCGATCAAAACCCTGGTAACGAGTAACCATGAGCGCCCCTTAAGCTCGAATCGGGTCTTTCTGGATGTTTGCACATCTAAATAAATCTAACGATTTCCCCACCGCTCTGCAAACACTGATGCTCCCCGCCCGCGGCTGCAACTCCTCTCCCTCCCTCGCCTCTAGTCAATCCCCCCTGCCTCTTTTAGCCCGCCCTAGCCTCCCTCCCTGGAGTGACTCCACTGCCCTAATCGCTTTGGTCCTTCTGGATTGTTCGGGAGGGCCTCCGACACAGCCACCTGTACACACCCCTTCGCCTTGTCACCTTCCCTTCGCTCCTCGGGTCTCGGCCAAGCTATCCTCCTCCGGGTTTCGGGCACCGCGCGGTCGGTCATTTTTTCATTGCAGCTCACACATACCCACCCAGAAGTGGCGGGGGTGGGGGGATTGGTTTGGTTGGGGAGAGCCAAACCGGGGAAGGGGGATAGGATCCTGCTGGGAGAGCTAGGGACGCGGGTGGCGCTGGCCCGTGGACACCCGGCCCGGCCGAGGCCTGAAAGGGCCAAGCTTTGCGGGGGCGGAGGGCCGGGGCGCTCCCGCCCGCTAGGAGCTGGCCGAGGCCTCCTTGCATCCGGAATCTTGTCTTCCAGAAGGGTGCGAAGCCTGCGCTTGGGGCCAACAAATGCCCTTATTCTAAAATTATGAAGTCCTCCCAAATCGGCTGGAAACAGCCCGGGACCGGCCTTCCGACCCGAATCATCTGACAGTCCCCGAGCTGGGCTCGGGGTTAAGTATTGGTTCCGAACCCCCAGCGCCAGCCTCGGCTGTTTGTTGTCTCAGGTTGCGGCCTCATTAGTATGCGCCTACCGGGGAAAAATAAGACTTCCCAGTAGGTTAATAAACAGCCGGCCTGGCGCAGGTTACTAAGGGCCGCCCTCGCCCTCTCCTGCCCCCACCCCCACACCTTTTAAGGAACCTTTTGCTTTCACGGAGCACTGCCTTCTCTACGTTCTCTGTTGAAATCTCCGTCACACGGTTTTGTCTGGGTTAATGTTTTATAAGGCACTGGCTGCCTTCGTCTACCTGCCAGGCTTTCCTGACCTAATCCTAGGGCTGAGCTCGCCCTTCAGCCTGTCCAGGACACCTTCTGTAGCCCCGGTCAAGGGTTCCGCCTCCCGAAAATCCTGGAGTGGGCCAGAGACCCCTCTCCCCGGAACCGTCACCTCCGGCCTGCGGTGACGCGCTCCCGCGCCCAATTTCAGTTGGCGACGGGGGTAAGCTGAGATTTCGTTTCTGCACTTGACCTACCGCAGAAAATTCACAAATCCTTTGATTGTCTGTTTAAAATGAGGAGGAAACCAGCTCCCTTTGCGGCAGGATTACAGTGGGAACAAGATCTAAAGATTCTCTTGTAATTCGGTGAGGCCGAGGGAACGGGGTTTTGCAAAGGAGAAAAGGAGCTCTGTGAGGGAGGCGATAACTAAATCGGGTTTTAGACAAAAGGATTTTCCCCAGCTAAAGTGGCCGAAGACAAAGGAAAACATAATCTATTTTGGAAGATTTCCAAGATATGCCACATTAACCTTAGCAGATAAATTTTGCTTCTCCCCACCCCCCCATTCCCTTAAAGTCTGGTTTATCATATTTACATAAGTAGCATTAGAAGGGATGTATCTATTATGGATCTAAAGGGCTAGCTCACATTTCATGTGAAAACCCGGGCGAAGTTTCACTCTTACCCTCAGTGCGCGGTTGAGCCATTTCCATTTAAATACCCCCTGACCCAAGGATTACCTCAATGGACTGACTGCACGGGTTTTGTAATTTCCTGAAAATGAGATTTCGATTTATAAAACAAGAAACCAATTAGTAACCAAATGAGGCGAAGTAGATCCACTAAAATTGACCTAATCCCACAGGCACAATTTAGGCCCGTTCTTGGCGAATGAATGATGAGCCCCAGTCTAGCCTGAGCTCAAAGCATCATCCAGCTGTGTTATTACAAGCAGCAAAAATAAATTGATCGAGCATTTCCTTCGGAATGAGTTTCATACCCTTGACAAAATATAGATTACAGACCTGGCATCATCGCCTCTTTCAGTCAGACAGGAAGAGGAGGAAGAGAAGGGGTTGTTCCACTGTTCTCCTCCCCCCCTTTAATAAATAAACACTCTATCTCAATAGAAATATGTCCCCCTTGTAGTAGTCCCCAGAAAGGTTCGTCAGACTGACAGACTGCAATATACCTTTTAGGCAATACGAGGGTGGGTGGGAGTGGGGCTGGAAGAGCAGTCCCGGGATCTGACCACAACTTGGTGACTGAGGTGGGGAAAGCCCTCTTCGGGTCCCAGAGGGGATTGTTCAGTCGCTTGGGTTTTCCGCAAGGCCAGTGGGTCCTCGCTGAGGGCATGTTGTCCAAACCTCCCCCCACCGCACCTGTCCAGCAACCTAACAGCCTCCGTGTTAGGGGCCTGGCGGCCTCAAAGGCTCTGAGGAAGAGAGGGACGGAGATTGGTCACCCTTAGACTAGACAGCGCGCCTGGACCGGTCCCTGAGTAGGAGGCTGCTTCTCGCGTCCACTGTGGGCGCTGTGGCCCTCCCCGCTCAAGGCCCTCTCCAGCCACCTAGCGGGTGCGGCGGACCTCGTGGTGGTGTCGATAGCTGCGCGGGACCTAGCTTTGTCCCGCGCAGCAGCCCAGACCCCTGCACTCCCGTGTGTCTGCACTCCACAGTGGCAGTGTGGGCTCTTCTCTCCCCTGTGTGCCCCTGGCCGCACCCGGGAAATCCACTAATGTTAGTACTAAATCTGGGGTGGAGAATGATGGTCACAACACTGACTCTGCACCCTCGCTGTGCTTTGGCGCTGGAGCTAGGCTTCCAGGTCGGGAGCGAGCAGGCCAGCCAAGCTGTCGGCGTCTGGCCTGCAGCGAAAAGAACAGGAACAGCAGTAACGAGGGACAGGTGTGTTCCAGCCTGGTCCCAACTAAACCGTGGGACGAAAATGGACGCGGGTTTGACAGCAGTGCCTTGCATGACGCTGAAAAACGTCAAGCGGTGTCGCCCCAGGGATCCAGGTCTTCAAAAGTGGCCGGGAGGGGCAATGCCAGAGCCCAAAGGCAGGCGCAGGTGGACGGACGCGAAAACCCCGCTGCGCAGGGATCTGCCGCCCGCGTTCTATTTGGCTGCGGGCTCGGGCAGGATCTCGGCTTCAGGTTTAAACAACGGCCGGTCCTTGGAGCAGTGGCCCAGGTAGCACTAATGACGGAGGGCACACGCCCGCACCGGCCCAGCTTCTGCTTGGGGTAGGCTCGCTGAGACGTCCTTGAACCTTGGGAGAGCAGAGACCTGGTCTGGACCATGCGGGGACCTCGAACTGGCGCACCCTCAGCTAAAGCCACCCGCGGCTGGGACAGAATGAGCCGCCCCGCGCGGGCTTGGCCTGCGGGCAGCATGATAACGTGCTTCTCCCCGCTGCGTGCTTTGGTGCGTACCAGAAGCGCGGTGGAGTCTTCTGTAAGGTTTCGGTCTCTGCTCCCGAGCGCACCACCGAGGTAGAGCGACTCCGCGCTGGAGGACCCGCCTCCAGGATGGGACTACCCGAAGAAAGTTTGTCCCGCACTTCTCAAACACTGTTTTAGTACTTTCTAATTAGCAGGCCCATTGCTAAATCCTTGAGGGTTCCCTTCCCCCACGCAAAATTTAAAACTCCATAAATCCGAGACTGGCAATGGGTGGACAGCTAAAAGCATAAGGTGTTAGTTGGGTCTAAACCTCATTCTCTTGAGAAATATCTGTGCCGATATAGAGAGGTGCGGCAATCATCCATGGGTTCGAATTGTGTCCACTTTTGTGTCAGCAAAAGCTCCAAGGTGCCAGGATTTCCCCAGGATTGAAAAATAACTCTTCTAGAAAATACGTTTGTCCTCTGGAAATTTAACCCGATTTTAACTTAAAGTATGTGATTGTAGCCTGCTTAAAAGCATCCCGCTATAGCTTACGGGATTGTTTTTGCTGTATTGGTTTTATTAGTGATCGTTCCCTTTAAAGAAAGAAAAGTGTTTTTTCATTGATCTGATCTACAATTTCTAGCACATAAATCTGCCTTGCAAATGCTCTGTGCAGAGTTTAGTTCTGCACTCTACATTTTAAGTCAACATCAAAACTGGAATTAAACAGAGAAAACCAGCGTGGAGGGTAAACTGGGCTTAAAGGCTTTTAAATGAGAAAAACTTCTGTAGGAAAATAAACATGGAAACCTAATGCTCAATCATTTCCCCGAGCAGCAAGAAAAACAGCCTTAAATCATCCATCCACGTGGGAAATGGGGCCTCTTTTTCTCTTTCAGTTCCCGGCCTCGAAAAAATACAAGGCGATTAAGGATTTCAGTCTTGAGGTGAATATTATAGAAAGGGTCTGTGGAGGTTTGTTTAACCATCCTTGTCCTTCCAGCCTTTGTAGAGACTCTTTCCTGCACAGTTACTAATTTCAATTCTGTGATTATTTTTATTTTCCCAAGACATCTTGACAATGATATGGCAGTGTGATGTTACCAAGATTCTGAATGGTTATAGATTTGAAAACATGTCTGATCCTTTCAAAGGTTACTCAGCAAGCCGCTACACCCTTAGCCAAAACTGTATTCTATCTGGATAGCAAATATATATTACTTTGTAGTTGAGTTTGTCCAATATTGCACATGAAGTCACACTATCTTTTTTTTTTGTTTTGTTTTTTAATCCTGCCTTTCTGGCTTTGGTAACACCAAAGACTTACACATTTCTAGATGCCTCAAGTTTTTTCTTTGCAAGGCTATTTTAGAATAGGATATGTTGCCAATGGAAGATACACAGTTTTAACGATTTCACAGTAATCTTCCTTTCTTTTTTTTTTTAGTATGAAGTCTCCAATCTAATGCTTTATTTTTAATTATTTCAGCTCTGTTTCCACCCCCTCCTTTCATCTTTCTTTCAACAGCTCAGTTTTATCTACTCAGATAAGTAAAAACTGAAGTTTGCCCAAAGAATCTACCAGAACCCGGGGGGTAAACTGTATGTGGTGATGGAGAATTAGCTATATTTTAAGAATATTTTGTAAATTTTTTCAAATATAAGTATGGAAAGATTTCTCTTTGTTGATTAAGCCTCTTGATATTAAAGGGTATTGTAGATGAAATGTAATCTGGGTTGAAACAGTGGGGTTTTATAGTCATTGTTGTGCCTGTAACTAAGATGTCACCAGATTTATAATTATTTTAGATTATATACATTGCAAAAATCCATGTTACATGTGACAGAAAGCTTACCATGATGAAAGAGCTGTCTTTACTCCATCCTTAGGACAAAATTTAAGACCTACTATGTGCTGGAATGGCATCTAGATAGGTGTAACAATGGACTACATCTGCAAACAAATTCTTTCCATTTCTCATCACTAAAAAGATAACCTTTACATAAAATGCTCAGTTTCCCCCCACTGCCATGGACCCAATCTTGTCTACTCTCCTCCTTCAGTCCACAGCTGAACCCAAATTTGGCACCCTCTGCAGGTTGTGCCTGGTTTTGCTGTTTGTGATTATATCACTCCTTTGAAAGATGTTGGGTTTTGTGTGTGTGTGTGTGTGTGTGTGTGTGTGTGTGTGTGTGTTGTTATTGTTTTATATTTTAAAGGGCTGTGTCTGGGTTTTGGATTTTTTAAGCTAATCTATCCTCACTAAAACCTCATCTCTAGGAGCCAGCTGTTCGGATGACCCCGTCTAACTCACCGGGTGGAGGCTGCCGGTGAGTTATGAGCTCAACAGTAGCTGGAGAAATAAATGATGTGCCCAGAGTTCACACATCGTCCATCCCCTCCTCCCCATAAACTCACACTAGCCTCTGAGGAAGGGAGAAGAGGGAGGGGCCTGGGGCTCCGGAAGAAGGTGAACGGGGGCTGCAGAAAGCACAGTCGCGGTTAAAGTAGCCACAGGGGATCAGCCCAGCCACCAAGGGGACTCCAGGGGGAGTCTTCGCCAGTGCTCTCTTTACAAATGAGAAGTTGGCTGAGAGAGTTTACTTTCTGTTCCTCTTATTTATCACGCGATTTATAATTTGTGGAGTTCGCACTCAAGTAAACAAGAAAGCTTGCTCTCTTAGAAAACAAAATCAAAACAACCGAAACCAACCCAATACCCTGCGGCCGCGCCTGCCCGGGTCTGCACGACAAAGACGGGCGCCCCTGGCCCGGCGACTCCCCGGGCGCTCCTATCCCTCTCCCGGTGCCCGCCCTGAACGCCGACCCGCTATTCTCCTCCCGCGATTACTCGCAGCCCCACAAGCAACACCATATGCTTCTTCTGATCAAACAGCGAGCGACTTCGGCACCGATAATTGACGAGACCCGTTAGAAATCACGCAGAAAAGGAACCCACTGAGACCGCAGGGGCTGACAAATCACTGCTAATAATCCTGTTAGGAACAGCGCGGCCAGCCGAGTTCGCAATAGCTTTATTTTTATAAAGTAGGCGCTGACAGTATAAAAGACAAGGAGATCTCTTTTTTTTTTTTTTAAACAGAAGGCAGTGTGGCATAATAGTTTTCCCACTAGCAATTCTCAGCACAGTTTGAATGGGAAATATGGTTTTTAGTATATAAATTCCCCCTCCTTTCTTTTTCTTTAACTTTTCAGGAACTTTAGGTTTTGATTCCTCTCCTCCTGTGGTTTCCACGGTTAACTGAGATTGTTCAACAACTATAACACTATTTGTAGTTTTGGGGTAAAACTGAACTATGATTTGAAAGTTTTCCTTTACTGCTCCTAATTTGTCAGCATGATTTGCAAGATTTTGATTCAGATAATAACTCCTAGTCAAAATCAAACAAAGTGAAACTCCAAGCCCAATAATGACTATATTTCCTTCCCCCTATTTCCTTAAAAGAAAACAACAAACCCCAAGGACCCCAAATCAACAATAACATAAACCTCTGCGGGTCAAATAAGACATTCCGATTTGTAAATAAACAGGGTTCTTTTGGAATTTTTTGTTTGTTTAGGATTCTCTCCTTTGTATTTCCCAATCTCTCTCCTCTGACAAAGACACATCTAAATTTTTTTTAAATTTGTTCATATTATTTGAATGTGGGTAAAGGAAAGGATGGGGAAATGGAAGAGGGAAGTGTCCTTTTCCTAGTGAGTATAAATGGACAGTGTTCTTTGGAGGCTGCTCTGTCCTCACACTGTGAATCTTTATAATCTAAATACATGTTTTAAATCATGCCAGCTCAGCTGTTCTTCCTTCTGGGCCTTATAATACAGTTTTCCCAGGATCAGTTTTGCCAAGCTTCCACCTAGAAGATATTTTCTAAGCGGGCTAGTCTTCTTAATTCAACCTTATGTGTTTGGGTCCTAGCCTATTATCTCAGAGATAATATCAAGCCCAGAGTTGGAAATCACCAAGCCCCAGAGTTAGTTTCAGAATCTGCGAATGAATGTCTCAAAACCCAGACTAAATTTGCTATAAACAATCAAGAGACTGGGTAAATTCAGGACATAGTTGTTCACAAATATGCCTGGTGCTCAAATGCATAATTGTAAACATATAGAGAAATTATTGTCTGGCTTAGCTCCATGTACGTGGGTCTATCTTTATGTAGCAAAAATAGAAGAATTTGGCAATGTTCCTGCTTTCTGCTAGATACAATTCTAACAAGAGGAATAAAAAAAGAAAGTCATGTTTGGATTAGTTGTACTTTCAATCGAGCTCAGTATCTGAAGTGTTGACAAAAGCACTGTTGGGCTGCTTCCCAACCAAACATATCCGATGGACTAGAGAGAAAGTATTAATGGGGAAGTAGAAAGAGCCACAAAAAGGCAACAGGAATTCTAAGTTCAGAGAGGTCCACAGTCAAGCAGCCATGCTAAACTTCCCTTTGCAGAGAGTATGTATGCATGTGTGACCGCACTTCTCTGTTCAGTGGTGTAGGCTCACTCACTGGCAAATCTCTACTCCTTCTGCCTTTGAAATTTCATCTGGGCAAAGTCACTTACCTTCTGGGAACACTACTCTCATTTTGAGATAGCTGGTCGTGAGTCTGATTATGGATGCTTTGTCCAGCTGTGAGGTGATAGCCGAGGGCAAAGGCAGTAATTTGGCCAGTTCATAAAATTCACTGTTTTCCTTCTCCCTCCTAGTCCGGGCAGCATTTTTGGACTTCTCTTTCATTGTGTCTCGTTCCCCCTTTCTTCTTACAACATGAGCTCCACAGATGCATCCAAAAGCAAAAATAAACTTTCAATTAGAGATCATATTTGACAAAAATATAAGGCATACTTTGAATGAAGAGGCTGAAATCTTTGCTTCAGGGTATTGATGGCAGTAAAAGACCAACGCAGCGAACAGAAAATACTTTTCTTTAAAAATACGGGACGAGAGTGTAGGAAAGTTGCTGATCCACGCAATCGGGGCAATCCTAGGAGTCTCTGGATATCAAATGCCGGCGGGACCCCTGAGGAGCCAGGCTTTTCTTCTGTTCCGCGCGACGGAGCCCGGGCCCCGGAAAATCGACATAATAATCCCCGACGTTTGCTCTTCAGTCCCGCGGCATTTGAGGCAGCTCCGAGCCCCTTTGGGAAGAACGGGAATGCCGGACAACTCTTTCAGGCCACTGTGAAGACAACAGCATCAGAGCGTAAGAGATCTGCAGCTCCGCAATCACTCATGCACTCGCCTGAATTCCGAAAAACAGCCGGGTAGGCGCCTGTCCAGGCTGGGTGTGTTTGTTTGTTTGTTTGTTTGTTTGTTTGTTTGTTTTATAAGAAATGGAGGAATCAATAGCGAGACTGAGCCTCCTGCGAATAATGCTCGCATCCTCTCATCCAAGCCAGCCACATTCTCCAGCCCCCCTGGGAAGTTACCCAAACAACAAAATGCATATTTTTGAAGACCCTGAGAAGACCCTCAGTCGCTGGTCCCCGTGCCCGCGCCCAGGCCAGGCGCACGTCCCAGGAAAGCAGGTTTCCGCAAATCAGAATTCCTCCACAGCGCTGGGGCCGCCTTTCAGTCCCCCCGCTTTGGCAGATCTGGAATTTGGCTACCTTTCTAACTTGGGTCTCGAGTCTCAAGGATTCCTCAAAAAGTGGCGCTTACACATCAAGTCCCTCGGGACTCCCAAGGCGACCCGGGGCTCTCCCTGCCCAGTGGGGGCGGCAACACGCCGGGCACGGCAGCGCCAGGTTAACAGGTGGCACATTCACGACAGCCCCTCGCAGGCACGGAGAGGGGGGCGGTGGGAGGCGTCCCGGCCTCTCCCCCACCGCCGTAGAGCTGCGGGTGCCTCTGGGCGGGCGCAAGGTGTCTTCCGCTTCACCTACCTTCAGTCCCCGCTGACTGCAAAGGGTGCAGAGGCGTCCACCTCTTAATTGTACTCATGCCTACCGTCCAACTCCGCCGGCCTCTCGGCTTCCCACCGGCAGAGAGGAGCAGAGCGCGCCCCGGCTCCCTTTTCTTTTCTCGGTCATGAATTGGGGGAGGGGTGCGTGGGAAAAGGAGGGAAATGCGGTCTTTGGGACGGGTGAGGTGGTTTTAGAATCCTCCTCCTCGGTAGTTGCTACGAAGCCAGTATTATTCCTAATTGGAAGCCGAAAACGCCCCCCTGTAACTTCTTTATAGCTCACCGGGTTTAGCTTCAACTTCACTCCCGGGCTCCCTCTCGCCCGCCCACCCTTAATGCCACTCACAAACTTCCTCGCCTCCGATTGGCTCGGCGTGCAGCGGGGCGACGCGCTCATTGGCCGGCCGGGCTGAGTGACGCGAGCACGCCCCGCATCTCCCCCTGCGCGCGGCTGCTCCCGGCTCGCCTCTCAGCTCCCCGCGTGGCTGCAGCGCTCCTGACAAGCCCGGCCGCCGCTGCTCCCGGCTTCCAGGGGCCTCGCGCGTGTTGCGCAGGACCCTCGCCCCCCTGCTCTCCCAGGGGTGGCGTGGTTGCGCACTCAGCCCAGAGCGCGGGGCCCACTGTGACCCGCGCGTCCGAGAGCGGCGGGCTGCGGCCTGAGGCCGCAGAGGTCGGGCCAGGGGGCTGGGGCTCCCGGCGACAAGGCTGGAGTCGCCCAGACTGCGGGCGCGGGTGGCCCGGAGGCCGACCTGGCGGCCGCGCCGTTCCGTGGGCAAGTGGCAGGGCCCACTGCTTGCGCGGGGCCGGTGTTCACGTTTCTCTGAAACCACAGCGACCCCGAATTCGTCGCCAGAGAAGATAATATACACCTGTCTTTAATCCCAAAGAGTCTTTTCCGAAATGGCTCGAGTTTGGGGGCTGATTTGCTCACCGTGGAAAGCTTAGCCGTGGAGTTGTCCTATGGGACGCAGATAGGGGACTCTGGGGGGAAAGAGGTTACATTTCAGGCCAAGATAGGATCAGACAGAGTGGTTGATACAGAGATAGATATCTCAAATGAGAGCGAATCCTTCTTTGTTGGGTTTTGTTTCAGGAAGCAAAATTGGATAAATGAATGTTCCTTGCATGAATAAATCTACAACATTCACAATTCCCCCAACAGGACCCTTTAAACAAACGCTTGTAAGTATTACTGCTGACACATTATATTTAAGAGACCCTCTAATTTGAATCGCCCTTTTGTCTGTCATCTGAGGAAAGACAACACCTAGAAACGGGGGGGAAAGTTTATTTGCTCCCCCCTCTCCAAATAATGACTTCTGTTTGGAATCACTCCCTACACATGCGATTCCCCGCTTTTTTTTTTTTTTTTTTGTTTTTTGTTTTTTGTTTTTTGGTGCTGATGGTGACCACGGTTCTTCTCCCGTGGGTACACTTGGGGGCAGTTGTTTCATCGGTGACAAAAGACAGTAAGAACACCAATAATGTTGCACTCGTCCTCTCGTTTGTGGCAGTAATTGCCGCCGAGAAAACACATACTCTGAAGAAGGGTAGGTGCCATTTTTTCTGATATTCGGAACAACTTTAAGAGTGTTTGTTCAGAAATGCAGACATCTGCCACCTCCTTGCCGCCCGATGGCAGTAAGCTCGCAGGACGACAACGGGAGCTTTCTGGAGATATTTACACATCTGGGAAACACCTGGCTAGAAGAGGTGAATGGATAGAAAGAATAAGGAAATACTAAACATACAGATTTTATAGGTGTTTCAAAACTGGAATCTAGTTAATGGGCTCTAATTTAGAAGGAGTTATTTCTTCGGAGGCTGTAGCCACTTAGAGACCTGGCCCTGCGAGGGTTCCCTCTACCTAATGATAAGCTCCTAGCAAGAGAGGAGGAAGAATACAGAGAGAGGTACTGTGGCTCTCTTATACACGACATTCCAGAAAGACAGGATAAAATGAAGTTAACCACTGCATGTAGATAGAAAAGGTGCGTGTTTGCGGAGGATGAAAAAACCCCTTCCGCGACCCTTCTACCCCCGACCCTCAATCTGGACAGATCTTACTGGTAAGATGGAGCGGCCAGGCGCAGCCATGGCACTTTAAGGGTAAGAAGCAGTTCCTATTCCGACTGTATTCTGGAGACAATTTCGGTTAAGTTACTGGTTGCTGTAAACCCTACCTGCCCTTCAAACAGTGTGCAGGTGTGTTAGTGCTTCATAAGAGTCTGAAACCCTTGCGCACGGCAGAGAAGCGCGGGGGAGTCAGGAGGTGCCGGCTTCCTATACACAGCGCGTTTCACCGGAAGAAAGGCAGTATTTTGCCTTCAGAAGCAAAATGGATAAAATGAGTGTGCAAGTTTTCACACCAAACATAACATCCTGGGGGGCCAAGCGGGCTGTCCCAGGGTCCCAGAGAAGCTCAGAAGTCGATGAACCGAGTAGATGTTTAATAAACGAAGTGAATGCACGGCCATGTGGTGCCGGCCCCCTCGCTAAGTCCTCCGCACACAACTGTCTGAGCCGCGTTTACCGAGTGAGTGAATTAGCATGGCGACGTAACACCTGTTTTTCTAATCTTTGAACCTAGGCTGAAGCCGGAATGCGGCTCCTGCTCGCCCTCCCCCGCCAGGGCGCAGGGACCCGGCCTCACACCCTCCCGGCGACCCCTCCCGCCGGCCCTGCAAGAGCCTCAGGCCAGCGAGGGGCGTGAACTGGAACTGCAGGTGCCTCCCACGTGTTCTGAAAATTTGCGTTCGCTTCTAGCGTGAGAAATTTTAAATTAATTTCTTGAGTGTAAGAAGTTAGCCCTACCCACCTCTTTGCCAAGGTGAGGGGGAAAGCCCCAGAAGAGAAAGAGATGGGCTCATGCCCACCAACACCAAACAACTCTTAAGAGGTCTAGGCCTCTGCCTTCTTGCGCGGATATCTCAAAATGTAGCCCTATGGCCCCGGGGCACTGTCTAGCAACCCCGGAACGTAATCCTAATACTGGAAGAAACCAGAGCAGATCTAGAAACAAACATCATCCTCCTACCCTCGACCAAGGAAGGCAAACTACCTAGCGTCACCGCGACCTTGTACCCCTGGGAGTCTCTTCTGCCTCTGGGTCGACTCCGGATGCTGCCCGCTTGGAGCCCTCCCTTAGCCCGCTCTGACGCCAAGACCGGCGCCGCCCAAGGCTCTAGACTAGGGGGCAAGGCGTGCCCGCGGCGGCTGATCTGAGAACCAACGCGCCTGTGCGTGCGGAGTCCCGAGCGCTGCGCGCTCCCGGAGCCACAAGGAGGGGGCCTCCGAGGGCCGCGGGACCCCTCCCAACATCGGGCAAAGTCCAAACTAGAGAAACAGAACCTTTGGGTTGGAAAGAACCAGAAGGTCCAGCGGAACTCCGGTGCAAACGGTGGAGCTGGGTTTCAGTGTAGCGACTCCCTCCCGGGCGCATTGTGACGCCGACCTTGCTCGGGCACAGACTTCTATCCTGCCTTTTGGTAACTCTTCTCTGAGCCCAGCTGCTCGAGTATCTTAGCAAAACTAGAGTCATTTCTGTCGCGCCTTCCTCATTTCCGTAGCACACTTTTTTTGTTCTGTTTTGTTTTTACAGACTGCTAGGAACGCATCCATGCACTTCTACAGGCTTCCACAGGCTACCACATACACACAACGGTACAAAGCGCACAGGCACGGATTTTGCTCATTGGCCAAGGTCAAGATGAATGCTATACTTATAATCAAGATGCAAAATCTGAAGATGGTCAGTATATTATATCCAGATGTTCACTCTCTATCACTGAGAAGGAGAATTTAGGGAAATACTAACATTTTATTCCATGTATGTAAGTAAACCCTGCTCTAGTCCCATTTTATTGTCACATTTAGGCATTTTGATGTTGAGGCACAAAAAAGGGCCCCTTACAACTTCGACTGGACGGGACAAGTGGGCTAGGAAACAAAGAATAGAAGGAACCTCAAAAAAAAAAAAGCCATGTTTAATGTTTTTAAAATTTACAGTATAATTCACTTGTTTGATCAGGACGGTTTGGAAAGTATAAGATATTTTATGTAAAACAAAGCAGCCTTTTTCCTAGATACTGCTTCTCAGGCACCTAACTGAAATGACCATTGAAATGTTTAAAAAATTAGCTTCAATGGTTATATTTAAGAAGAAAGAAAGACAAGGAAAGGAAAAGAAAAGGAAAAAAAGGAAAGAAAAGGAAAGTAAAAAGAAAAAGTCACCAACCTGAAAAATGAAAGTGATGGATATTAGGTAGTTTCTCTAAGTATTCTGGATAATGTTTTCCACCCAGATTTTGAAACCACAGTCTAATAGCACCTTGAGTTGATCACTGCGAAACAAGAGTACTTCTTAAGCTGTGCACACTTTTTAATAAAAGATTTTATTTTTTTCAACTAATCTCTACACCCAACGTGGGGCTCCAGCTCACATCCTGGAGATGAACCTCCAGCTCCACCGACTGAGCCAGCCAGGTGCCCGAAACTGCACACTTGAAAAGAAACGAATTTTTCAAACATTAACAGTAGCTGGAAAACTCTGATGCGCATTCTGAGGACAGGAGCCTGTGGCCGCCTGCAGTCAAGGAAGCGCGTAGTTTTTACACTTCTTTTTTCCGGAAATTGAGCTGGGGGTGCTGTGTGTGTGTGTGTGTGTGTGTGTGTGTGTGTGTGTGTGTGTCTGTGTGTGTATTTCAGCACAGCTGGGCACAGGAGCACTGCCAAAAATGTTCAAGAACTGAAGACGAACGTTGGTTTGTGACTTTGGGTTGAAAGACACTTTGATTCCTCAATCAAAGTTTCTGGATTTCAGGACAAAACATGCTCTCTTGCACTTCAGGAGCTCAAGCCAGCCTGGGGCTGGAGACCTGGTGGCCAATGTGGGGGGTGGAGGGTGGAGAGGGGGTTTGAGTGGTGAGGCAGGACCGCTGAAAGAGAGCTGACTGGAGTCAGTGGCCTCGAAAAGGATGAGTGGCATCAGAATTGGGTGGATTCAGAGGGCATGTGATTCACCCTCTTCTGGCTTTGAGAGCCATCCAGTTAGGCTTCTGCAGAGTTTCCCCTTCTCTGAGCCCCAACTTTGCGCGTATTCCCTGGCACCTATGAACCCCGGGACTATGCCGGGAGTGCTTGAAGAGGAACCCCTAGCCCTGCACTCTCTAGTGGGTAAAGGCATTCTTGAGAGGGCACTCCCGTTAATCCGTAACAAATGACCGGCTTCCAGACCTGGCCAAGCCTCAGGGCCACCTGGGGTGGGAGGTGGTGACGGAATGTGGC